AGCTTTCTTGCCGCTCTCTTGCTGCAAGTGTGATAACGTCCAATGTTTGATCCCAGGTATGGGAGTTCTTTTACTATTTCTATTTCCCCATTCTACTCCCCTTCCTCAGCCAAATCCCAAACTCTAAACATGGATAGCAGAAGCTGAAATGATCAGGCACTGTCCAAAAGGATAGCAGCTACTTGAGCTCAGAGGGTCCCTCTAGACCAGGGGTAGGCAACCTTTCCCCTTTAAGGGCCGAGGAACTTCAGCTCCCAGAATCCCAGGAGCTATTGGCCAAAATGGGACTATTGGCCAACATGGCTGAGGCTTCTGGGAGCTGAAGTCCCTTGGCCCTTAAAGGGGAAAGGTTGCCTACCCCTGCTCTAGACAATTTTGGGCTCTTTCTAAGCTCCAGAAGCTACACCATGCAGTGAGACAAGAGATACTGCACTATCGTACAAGCTAGATCCCAAAGGAATTTAATTTTGTATCTTAAAAATGGACAAACACTTCTTAGTAACCTTATTTTTGTCCTCTTGTGATATGCCTTGAAAGGACTCTGGATGCCCCAAAGGCATCCTGTTGTTTAATATAAAGCAAACAAAGCGAAAATATTTTCTGGCAGAGAAATGTAGGCATGTGCTTTACCCTGATCCAAAACACACTGCAGAAATAATCCAGTTTGAGGCTCAATGCTAGGGGATTCTGGAAACTGTAGCTTTGTGAGACATTTAGGATTCTCCGGCAGAGAGCTCTGGGACCACAATAAGTGACAGTTCCCTAGCACTGAGCCAGTGCAGTTAAATTGGTCTCAAACTGGATTATTTCTGCAGTGTGTTTTGGACCCCTGTTACTGAAACCATAAGATCTGCTTGTAAGTAGCCCTTAATTTCAAAGTCATCATAGGGCCTGTACAGACCGCCAGAAATAATGCAGCTTGAGACTTTAACTGTCCTGGCTCAGTGCTAGGGAATCATGGGAACTGTAGTTTATTGTGGCACCAGAGTTCTCTAACAGAGAAGGCTCAATGTCTCAAAAAACAACAACAATTCCCATGATTCCCTAGCATTGAGCCAGGGCAGTTAAAGTGGTCTCAAGATGGATTATTTCTGGCAGTCTGTACAAACCCATAGACAACGAACGGTTTTAAGAGTGGGCTGAGGTTGTCTGCATTATGTTGGTTTTTTTTAATATTAAAATTGTCACTTTAAAACAGTAAAACAGAAATGCAATGTAACTGGTGTTTAAACAGCTATTAATTATTACTCAGGGAGCAACAAAAACTATGTGTACACTATTTGTTACTGTTGCACAAACCTTCCTGGGAAACAGATATATAAATAAAGCCTTCCCTTTTGCAGAGAGTTGATACACAACATTCTCATTTATTAGTGTAACATTTCAGATGTCCAATAAAGTATACGAAAACTTGTGCCACAATAAATCTATTAATCTTTAGACATGTCACAACTTTTTGGAGTTTTTGCTGCAATGAGCTAACATTGCAACCATTCTGGCAAACTAGTTTTTGCTACAGAGCGACAAACATTGGGATTCTGATTCACAAAGGGGTAAGTCTAGAATAGATGATGTCCAGGGAAATTCAGCATAAAAAGGATGAAAAGAGAGCGGGAGAAAAAAGAAGGAAAGTGGTATCTTAAGACTAAGGGCCTTTACAGACTGCCAGAAATAATGCAGCTTGGGGCCACTTTAACTGTCCTGGCTCAGTGCAAGGGAATCATGGGAACTGTAGTTTTTTCTGGGACATTGAGCTTTCTCTATCAGAGAGCTCTGGTGCCACAATAAACTACAGTTCCCACGATTCCTTAGCACAGAGCCAGGACAATTAAAGTGGCCTCAAGCTGCATTATTTCTGGCAGTCTGTAAAGGCCCTAAGTGAATTTTATTTTAACATGAGCTTTTGTGGATATAAACCCACATTTTCACTCTGCTGCAGTATCACTCTGTGCTGTTGTTGTTGTTGTTGGGTTCCTCCATGTTGCTTCTGACTCATGGCAACCCTAAAAGTGGAGCCATGAAAAACCCCACTCTCTCAGCCTCAGAGGATGGCAATGGCAAACCTCTTCTGAAGAAATCTTGCCAAGGAAACCCCATGATAAGTTCGCCTTACGGTGGCCATAATAAGGATTCTGGGGTTTATATTTTTGTGGGATATTTAGCCTTCTCTGTCAGAGATCTCTAATGTGGTGTAGTGGTTTGACTATGACTCTGGAGACCAGGGTTCGAATCCCTACTCTGCCATGGCAACCCACTGGATGACCCTGGGCAAGTCACACTCTCTCAGCCTCAGGAGCAGGCCATGGCAAAGCCCCTCTGAACAAGTCTGGCCAAGAAAACCCTGCGATAGGTTCGCCATAAGTTAGAAACTACTTGAAGGCACACACCAACAACAAAGGCAGAGCTATCACAGCGTTTTCTTGGCAAGATTTGTCCAGAGGCGTCTTGCCTAGGCCTTTCTCTGAGGCTGAGAGAGTGTGACTCTCCCAAGGTCACCCAGTGGGTTTCTATGGCCCAGAGTCATAACCCCAACACTCAAGGCTCTGTTCTGCTTCGCTCTGGTGCCACAACAAACTACCATTCCCAGAATTCTATAGCATGGAGC